CCGTTCATTCAGCCACGAGTCGACACAGACTCGAATGAACTGACCCATTGATGCTGAAACATTTACGATGTTGCCAGTTCAAACTGAAACATCTAACAGAATTATTACAGCAAGAAAACCAAATTCTACCAAAACCAGTACTCAGTCCACTCAATCTTCCTTACAGAACTAACAGATCCTAAAAAAAATGAAAGTAAGACATCAAGTAAAAAAGATGCAAATAAATCAGACAGTTGGGGCAATGGATCTATCTGGGATCTTCCCGACGATATAGATAGTTCATCTATCACAAATAGCCTTCCTGCATCTGCCTCTAATACAAAGTCAACTAGTTTATCTTTTACACTTCGTAAACATTCTTCTAAAGCCCCGTCTCCTCTCCGTTCTCCAGAACAGCAGATCGTCCCAAAAACGCCAGCAAATTCCTCCCTTCAGAAGTCTCCTGATAGGAGGTCACGTGGTAGGGGTCAAGGCGGAGTAATACCAACTTCGTCTAGTCAAGGAGATCGACGAATCTCCTCACAAAATAGATTTGCCACACTTACTGATGAATCAGAAATGGAATGCGAAAGTGTTGTGCCACCCGAAAGATCACAATCTCAGTGTGATCGAAATAAGAACGCTGGCAAACTCGATAGCATTCGTCCTTCTATTCATAAATTATGACAAGTATCATTCAATGGAATTGCCGAGGTCTTAAAATAAATCTTCTCGAGTTAACACTTCTAGTTCAGTCTTTTTTACCTATTGCATTCCGCTATCAAGAAACTCATCTAAAAGAAAGTGACAATGTATCTTTAAAAGGATACAACATATATAGCACATTTTCTAAGGAAGACGAACGTGCTGCAGGCGGATCAACCATTTGTATGAAGGACAACGTCATTCATAGCACAGTCCAACTCACGACAGATCTGCAGGCAGTTGCAATTCGTTTATCATTAGATAAAACAATTACATTCTGTTCTATATTCCACCTAATTCAAATATAGATAAAGCTAAACTCAAAAACCTCACTGACCAATTACCTTCACCTTTTATACTTATGGGAGACTTTAGTGCCCATAATCCCTGTGGGGAAGCAAGTATCATAATGCCAAAGGTAAGATTATTGAAGATTTTGTCTCTCAAGAAGGATTATGCATTTTTAATGATGGATCTAATACTTATCTCCACCCTGGAAACGGGTCTTATTCTGCTATTGACATCACTATTTGCGACCCGTCTCTTCTTCTGGATTATTCATGGCGTGTCCATGATGATCTTTGTGGAAGTGATCACTTTCCAATAATACTTGAACATCTTTTTACTTCTGCTCAACAGAGAGTTCCACGTTGTAAACTGAACAAGGCGGACTGGCCCTTGTTTGAGAATCTCTGTCATGCGGAGCTTCAGTCAAAGATGTTTGAGACTGTTCAAGATCCCATTTTAACTTTTAACACAGTTTTAACGTCAATTGCTGACAGAACAATTCCTAAGACCTCGGCAAATCCGAAACATCCCAGCAAACCATGGTTTGATGAGGCTTGTGATCAAGCCATAGATGACCGTAAAAAATATGAAAGACGGTTCAATCAACGTCCAACGACGGAAAACTTAAGTAATTTCCGTATTTTTCGCGCTAAGGCACGGCGGACTTGCAGGCAAGCACGCCGTACGTCTTGGAAAAAATTTGTCTCGGGGATAACATCTCGCATTCCGATGACAAAAGTATGGAACATGATACAAAAGATAAAAGGTAAAAATTCTAAAGCCACGGTAAAACATTTGAAAGATGGCAATAATTTATTAACATCTGAAAAAGATATTGCCAACAAGCTTGGTGAAACTTTTGCGAAATCTTCTTCTTATAACAACTACAGGGAAGATTTTAAAAAAGTTAAAAAAGAAAAAGAAAAAATGAAGTTGAACTTTAAATCGAAAAATGGTGAAAATTATAATAAACTCTTCTCTCTGAAAGAACTCAAAACATCTCTGTCAAAAGCCCATGATACAGCTTGTGGGCCTGATAATATTCACTATCAACTCTTAAAACACTTGCCAGATTCCTCGCTGGAAGCTCTTTTGCAGCTCATGATTAAAATCTGGGAATCTGGTGATTTACCATCAAGTTGGAAGCTTGCAACCGTCGTGCCTATTCCAAAACCAAGTAAAAATCACACGGAATCTATTAATTATCGACCAATTGCTCTTACCAGTTGTGTCTGTAAAACACTAGAACGGATGGTCAATGATCGCCTTGTATGGTTCCTGGAATCAAATGGGCTATTAGCCAATATTCAGTGTGGATTCCGACAGGTTCGCAGTACTCTTGATCATCTTGTTCGATTCGAATCATTTGTCCGTAATGGTTTTGCGAAAAATGAACATGTGGTGTCGGTCATTTTCGTTCTTGAAAAAGCCTATGACACTACGTGGAAGTATGGTATTTTAAAAGATCTTTTTGATATGGGGTTGAAAGGCAATATGCCAAATTTTATTTCTAATTTTCTCTCTAACAGACAATTTAATGTTAGAGTTAATTCAACCATGTCTCATCTGTATGATCAAGAGATGGGTGTCCCTCAGGGCAGTATTTTGTCTGTGACATTATTTAGTCTTAAAATTAACAGCCTTGTTGAAGTTTTAAAAAGTAATATTGAAGGCTCATTGTACGTTGATGATTTTTTAATATGTTATAGAGGCAAAAATATGAATATCATAGAACGCCAATTACAACTGTGTCTCGGGAGAATCGAAAAATGGGCCTCAGAAAATGGTTTTAAATTTTCCTCATCTAAAACGGTTGGGATGCATTTCTGTAACAAAAGGAAATTGAATCTTGATCCAGAACTCACTTTATATGGAAACCCAATCAAAATGGTTGATGAAACCAAATTTCTAGGGTTAGTTTTTCATAAAAAATTAACCTTTCTCCCCCATATCAAAATGTTAAAATCAAGATGTTTAAAAGCATTAGATATTTTAAAAGTTGTCGGCAGCACCGACTGGGGTGCTGATCGCAACATTTTACTTAATTTATATAGATCTCTAGTTAGATCCAAACTAAATTATGGCTCTATAGTGTATGGCTCTGCACGGAAGTCCTACATACAGATTATCGATGCTGTGCATCACCAGGGTTTGCGTCTCTGTCTTGGCGCCTTTAAAACCTCACCAGTTGAGAGTTTGTATGTAGAGGGTGATGAGCATTCACTTTTTGACAGACGTATGAAGCTTGGACTTCAATATGCTGTCAAACTAAAAGCCTATTCAGATAATCCTGCTTACAACTGTGTTTTTAATCCAATTTATGAAGATATTTTTGCAAAACATGAAAATTAAATTCCTCCGTTAGGTATACGTTTAAAACCACATTTAGCTACTTTTGATTTAAAATCTGTTGCTCAAGTTGAAACTTGCAAATGTCCTCCATGGGAACTTCCCAAACCAAAAATCATATTTGATCTCCGTAAACACAATAAAAATGAAACAAATCCTCTTTTAATTCAGCAACACTACGCTGAAATTAAAGCCAATTATTCAGATTTTTCAACTGTCTATACTGGTGGATCAAAAGATGGTGACAGAGTTTCATCTGCTGCTGTCTTCAGGGACAGAGCTGCAACTCTCCGTTTGCCATCTGCTGCATCCATCTTTACTGCTGAAGCAGAAGCAATAATTTTGGCTTTGAAATTTATTGCTTCTTCAGATATATCCAAATTTATTATATGTTCTGATTCACTTTCATGCTTACAAGCTATACAAAATACTAAAATTAAAAACCCAACAATTCTCAAAATTTTATATGTAATGAGGAATTTAAAAATTCTTCTTAAAGAAATAATATTTCTATGGGTGCCGAGTCATGTTGGAATCCATGGAAACACAGCTGTAGACCCTGAAGCAAAGAATGCCCTGGGTGACACTTTATCTAACTGTGATATACCATATACCGATTTTAAATCTAATATTAGAGAATATGTTTTTGATATTTTGAAAAATGAATGGAGTAAGAGACATGGTAACAAATTACATGAAATTAAACCTAATTTAGGTAAACCTTTTAATAATTTAATGTGCAGAAAAGATCAGTGTGTTATTTCTGGATGCCGAATTGGTCATACTAGAGTGACACACGAGTATCTTTTAAAAAATGAAGATGAACCACAATGTGTACCCTGCAACTGCAAGTATACTATTAAACATGTTTTAATTTATTGCATTGACTTTGCTGATATTCGGAAGAAGCATTTCAATGTCAATAATATGTATGATTTATTTAATAATATTCCATTTACAAATATTGTTTCATTCTTAAAAGAAATTGGAATATATTATAAAATATAAAAATGTTGTTATATTTAAAACGATTTTAATTTTTATCACGTTATCTTAGTGTTGATTTTTATTTGTAAATAATCAATTCGCTTTAGTCTAGAATTTTAGTTTATTGAAAGACCTTTTGTCTGATTTTAAAAATATACCTTAAATTGTTATAATATTCGAATTAGCTCTCGCCGCGATATAGCCTTTCTGTGCTAATGCGGAGTAAAGCAAACAACAATCAATCAATCAATCTGGATTAAAAGTTATGGCGTTCTCTTGCCTTTCAATGCAAAAGAAGTTATTTTAGATGTGTCTGAGGATTTTGCCAACAGTAAAACAGTTAACAAAATTTTGTTATTATTTAAATACTATATATACAAATGTAGATGTAAGAACATACTCCCCACAAAATATGGTGGGATAGAATATTTAAAATATTGGATTAATATAGAAAAATACTCTGTATGTTTCTTTACCCCTGTACAAAGAGTAAAAATGGATCAGAAGTGGCATTTGTTAGAAGCAGCTTTTAATTACCAAAATCAATTGTATTATTCATATCTTATTATACCTTTATGACTTGATAGATCTTACAAGTGTTATTTAATTTTTTATAATTTGTGTCTAATACTGTAGTATGTAATTTCACATGTTTCATCATGAAAAATACAAAAAAAATTCTTTCGAATAAATAACAATCAAATAAGTTTAATAGATTCATAGTAAAAAAAATAAATATAATTTAAATGACCTCATGTATTATCATTTCCGAATCCGACTAAACTCATCGTCGGACAGAATTATTCATGTTTATTTATGATAGTTTCTTTTTCACGTCGAAAAGAAAAGCCTTTCCGTCTTTAAGATTACAAACAAGCAGAATGTTTTCTTTTTTGTCAAAATAAATTCCACCTGGCCTATTCAATCCATCTGATTTAGTGAGAATTTCTCTATAATATTCACCATCATCAGAAACTACTACTACAGAGTAATTCCTATCAGCCACAAACACATTCCTCTCGTTATCTGTTGTAACTCGACGTAAATCTTGATATTTATCCTTTTCAAACTTCCACAAAAGTTTTCCATCTAACGAGCAGCAGTATATTGATTTAAAGTCTCTACAAACGAACCTGTCTCTGTCTACTGTAATGTCGCGGATACTTCCTGAAGGTAAAGGTATAGTACGTATTACTTTACCTGTCAGGTCCATCACCTGTATGATACTTATATCAATAACAACGTGCAGGTTATTATCATCATATGATATTCCGTAGCAGTAACCACTGGTATTGATTGTATTGGTGACAGAACTTCTAGATATATTTATTATCAGTATGGTTCTGTCAAGTGTAGAGGATACTGCTACAGTATTATTGTCTACCTCTGTTATATAATATGGTCGGCAGGACAGAGGAATGTGATGGATAGCAGTACCGTCTGAATTACAAATAATCAGTCGTTTATTATAACAGTCGGTGAACACTAACATGACTAATGCTGTGCCGATTTTGATACAGCTAGTAATATTGTGATTTTCATTCGATGACCTTTTTATATTTAACTGTTTACGCAAAGTGACATAAACAGGAAGGTTGTATTTGACAGGTGTTTGGGCTTGGATAAACGCTGCTGATGCGGTTGGTTTATTTTCTGAAAAAGAAAATGATGCAACACATAAGCATGATCAGACAACAGCAAATAAGATATGGTATGGTCATGGGGCAGGAGCATTTTTTTGGTAGATTGACTTCATTTTCATTGCATCTTACGCATGGTGTTTTTTGTTTTATTAATTTGAACTTTTAATTTGAATTTTTTTCTGCATGTTGTGTTGAAGAATATTCATTTCATCCTCGCAGTGATATTAAGGCACTTTACCAAGAAAAATGCGTAAAAATACATGTTATATAGAAGTGCAAATCATAAGAAAATGGCAAAAAAATCCGGAAAACAGAGATCGTAGAATCAAACATAAAGACCTATATTTAATCTTGCATGGGTTTTTCATATCGAAAGTGAAAGTAGTCACGTGACCCGAGTCGCCACTGAAGGTCGTACATTACATTTTCAACTCAAGAGTCCAGCGTGTTATAGGAATCTTTGAATGTGAAACAAAGTATCAATACATTCGTTTGAATGTATATTTTCTAAAAAATGCTATCCAAAGATTGAACTATACTGTCTTACGGTAAAAATTAATGTAAATCCGTTGAAAAATGTGATTTTTTGACGAAATCCCCATTTGATACCATGATATTTCATTGATATGAACGCATACAAGTGTTTGGATAGCATTTTTCTTTTAAAAGAGATATCAATCGTTTTAAATCATGTCCAATCAAGCAAATCCATCTTCAGTAACACACTGGACTTTTTAATTTTTTAATCGTGTACCGTTTAATATTGTTTTACGTTCATTATCAACAAACGCTTTGATGACATGATCGGCCGTACTCAATAGCTGACAAAACTCCGGAAAAGTATAAATGCCGCGTATTTTAAACGACGGACTTCATGTAATGTTTTATTTGTATTAACTTATACTGGAGATATATTTTTTACATTTATTCATTAAATATATATATTTGAAACTTTTATCATTGTAAGAATAAAAAAAAAATTTGTTAAAAGACCTTAAAACAACAGTATTTTCCAAGATTTGCTTTTAGATGTGCATTTTTTTTATTATATTGTTCGTGAATTTAATTAAAGTTTACAAAAGATAATTTTGACAGAAAAATTGTAAAAAGGATTCATGAATCCCCTTCTTCGAGTCTCGCCTGTGATTGCTGCCATCAGTGTGTGTGTGGTGGTGGTGGTGGTGGTGGGGGGGGGGGGGGGGGGGGGGGGAACGGTCATCAGTGTTAAAAGTATTATGTTGACTGCCAACATTTTATAGTCCATCTGAGATTCTCAGAAGACATCTAATGACTATTATCAAAATACAAAATTAAAAGATATCGAAATGTTCTCTTTAAATGCTATTTCTTGAACTTGAAGAAGCTATAAATGTCCAAGTTTCACAACATTTCATGAAGCACCCACCTTCCCACCATGTATTAAAATGTAAACTGAAAAAAACAGTCCATTCATCAGTAAAATTCGGTATTAAAAATCAAAATTTTAATTTTGCTAGATATTATCTCATATATATAAATAAAAGAGCTAATTCTGCCCAATAAAAAGAATAATCTATGAAGGTGGGAGACTATCTTAATGTTAACTCCATTCGTGAAATATAAAAAGAAATCAAATTTGGCTATCGCACTGTCCCAAGTTACGTAAAAAACTGTTTATTTAATTGTGCAGCACCTGAATCCAGTCATAATTCTTATTTATCTGGATATTTGCATGGATTACAGTTGACCTGCAGTCATATAGTCTGCATTTCTTTAATAGACAACAACATTTTCAGCAGACACAACTCTGAAGGTCAGTGTGAAAAATTATGTACTTTGGTAAATGTTTGAAGTGGCAGAAATTTGTAATAGAAATGTAGGGAAGAATCACACAACTGAGCTAGGCTCTCAGAATATACAAATTGTTTGCTGTACTGAAACACCCCAACAACTGGTTCAGTTGTTTTTTTAATTATATTTTCTACTCCACTGATCCAGCAAAATTTACACTGCTCAAGACTTTCAACAACACACAGAAATCATGTGGTCAATATTCAAGTGAAATTTATGAAATTATTCTATGCTGTGTTCCACTTAACTCTTCCAGGTTAGAGTTTGAGCACTCACAAACATGTTTAACCCCACCACATTCTTTATGTGCCAGTGAGTGTTCCAAATCACATGCCTTTTGTGCAGTGGTTTTCGTTGGTTAATGTCCGTCTTATGGAATTATATCACATTTTCCAGACTGGGGCCTTTTATCATGTTTATAGCAAATACTACAGTGGCTAAGTATATTTGCTTACATCTACTTCATTTAAACTCTAGTTGGTAGTTGTGTCAATGACAATGATAACGAAGACATCTCATTCTTTGCAGTATATGGAGGACAAAACATAATCTGTTTTGTTACTCAGCTCAAACAGGATAGAAGAATTCAAATTATACCTGTGTTTATGTCTTGTACAAATATCTTTTTATTTTATTTTGAGACCATGTATATATATATATTTGAAATACAATGTATATTTAGCAATTATGCACCTTGATCAACTTAACAATCACACCATTGTCCTTATAAAAGATTTTTAGAGATCCTTTAAGTGGCAATCATATCACCTTATTATTTTCATGCCCAACCAATATCAATAAAAAAGTACAAAGTAGATATACTATAAGCAGGAATAATTGGTATGGGATTTGCTCATTGTTGAAGGCCGTACATTGACCTGCAGATGTTCTAAAATTTCTGTGTCCTTTTGTATCTTGTTGAGAGTTGTTTCATTGGCAATCATACCATATTTTCTGATTTTTATAAGGAATACAGATCATAATATGTGACATGTCTAGTCATCATATTGTTCATACAAGGAAGGGGGTTGGTAAGTGATGATATGTTATTTGTTTCTTGTATTTACATTTTTGATACAACATATACATGAAATACCATTTTACTCCATAAAGAAAAGAAAATCCATAGATTTCTATTTCAAAGACCTCCACTCTTGGTATTAAATTTTCCAAAGAAAACAAACAAACAAACATTGTTTTTCTGAATTATTGATCATAAACAAATATTAATGCAATTTAAAAAAAAAAGAAGTATATATCATTATAACAGATAAATTGGGTCACAATAACTTGTGCTATAAACTACCTATTCATTGAGTAATAAACAACTAAGAATGCCCAGTGTCATCTTATAATTGAATTGTAGCTAATACGTCTCCTAATTTAAAATATTTTCGAAAAGCTTTAAAGTGTTGCTTCAGTTTGAAACATTTCATAAAAGTTTACATCTGTACTACAAGCATATAGTTGAATTAGTTCTTAATGCTTTTCATTAATTCTGTCTTGAATGTTACAAAGATTTTTTTCTTCTCCAGAGATGTGTCTAATTCTATCTGACCAGTGACGAAGAAGTGTAACAATATGAAATTTAGGTTACACATCAATCATTGTAAATAGTAACTGTAAATGTACAATCAGGTATCGAGTAAAGCTGAAATAGAAAAAATACAAAAATTACTAATCACATAAACTAAACAGAACATTATCCCACAAGCAATACACAGAATGCAAGTACAGCAGTCTTAACATAAAAGTAAAAATCTAGGCAACAGACCAATAATGTTTCAATAATGCATCAAAATATAACCCCAAACTGTTCATGTTATGCCCCATTCAAAGAAGAGTATTAGGAAAGTGATTGTTCTTCCAATGTTAGTCCACCCTACATAGGGTTAATGGTTTGATCATTGAGCAAGTCCTCATTTTTAAGGCTAGAACTTTTACATTATAAAAGGCATAAGTAAATATATTACTGTTGTGCATTTTATCAGGATTCATTTTCTTTCTTTATATTTTCCTCAAATAACAGGAATTTGAACTTTGTCATTTGTTTAAATTTGGTGAAATTATTCATGCTAGGTACCTGTATATGGTTTTTCAAGCACACACTTGCAGTTTTTAAATTTGAACTTTACTACTTTGCAGGATGTTTGTTCTTTAACAATACATGAAGATCAATAGTTTGTATATAATAAGGATTTTGATGTTCCTTTAATTTTCCACAAAATAAGAACTAGTAATTTTTCTAATGCAGTAATGAAAAGTCCTGTATATTCATTTGTCCTAGCTATAGCTAGTTAACATGGTAAACAAAACAAAGAAATAACATACAGAGGCACATGTTTTAGGATGAAAGTATCAGAACTATAGAACACCAGAATCAAAATTGTAAATAAGAAAAACATTCTTCATAAATTGTTAATGTGCAAAACATGAAATATTGCTTATCATGTCAAATTTTAGTGTCCCATAACTCTTGAACTTAATTAGTGGAAATTAATGCAAAGCCTAATTCTTTATAATTTGGTAAAATTAAAAGTTAACAAGGTTTACTGACTATGATGGTTTTCCATTTTCTGTCAGTTGATGGACATATTTAAAAAGAGCAGGTTGTCAGATAAAACACTCATGCACTGTAGTGGTGAAACAGGCTATGTCATTCGACCTGAAAAGTTCTCAATTCGACCCTGAAAAAGGCAAAATGTTTTTAGTCTTCTTCTTTTGTTGTCTCTACTAAATAACAAATACGTATAACAGCAAACTTTTGTTACAACCACTTACCCTTGAACAGTTACTGAGTCCAGATTATGCAAATGAATGCACTAGCCCATCTGACTCCTTAGGTACTGTTTTTGCAAGACAGCTCAATCATCAGGTTATCAGATGAATCGAAGAGGGATACAAATCTTCATTCATTCATATCTGTTTCCTAAAATAAAAAAATGATATAGATAATTGCAAATAACTGTAAAAAATCTTATATTAAACCAGATTTTAGCATATCTACTGTAAAATCAGAAATTATTGTGTGCATTTATTATTGCGATTTCAGGGGAATGGACCAAAATGCCAGATTAATTATTGCGATTTCAGAAACATCTGCATATAGAGATGTGTATCAGATTTCAGAATGCGCGTTCTTATTATTGCGATACTCAGCCAGTCGTATTATTCGCATTAATAAAAACCTCGCAATAATTTCTGAATTAACAGTATTACAGGAGCCTATATGATATATAATCATGTAAATTCAGAAATTATTGTATGCGTTTATTATTGCGACCATTGAAAACAGAACAAAAATGCAAGATTAATTATTGCTCTTTCAGGAAAATATGCATACAGACTGTTTAAACATAACAGAACATAGGCGGATCCAGGGAGGGGGGGGGGGGCACCTTTTGTGGGAAAAATTTGTTTGATTATATAGTGAATCACTTAAGCATGACTGGAACCCCCCCAGTTTATTTTTGTCTCACAAACATGCCTTTTCCATAAGTTGTAATTAGATTTGAACTAGCTTTCAGTAACTGCAAGTACTTTGTGCCTTTTTTTTTGTGCTACGTGTTGATCCGAGTTAGTCGAGCATTTTTCACTAACTTTTACCATTGTTTACAGTTTGTTCCTATGTTGTAATGTTACACTACTGTCCAAGGTTAGGGGAAAAAAAGGGGGGGCTTTTATAGCTTAATATGGTATGGGTTTTGCTTAGTGTTGACAGCAAAGCAACCTATATATAGATGCATACATCTACATCATTTGGTCTCTGGTGGATAGTAGTCTCATTTGCAGTCATACCACATCTTCTTATCTTTATAAATAGATTTTCTAATGTAACTATTTGTTATGTCAATGTAATGCTCCATATATGCATATGTATATAAAAATAAGATGTGGTATGATTGCCAATGAGACAACTCTCTCCCCATGTACTGGTGACAAATGACCATAGAAGTTAACAACTATAGGTCACTGTACAGCCTGATTTATGTGCATGATGTACAATAACAATAAATGAAAAACAAATATGATATACAGAAACAAATAACCAGTTTGAATAAGGAGCAAAAAGAAAAATGCATCAATTTACCTGTTTAAATAATAAAGCTTTCCTAATTCCAACCGTTGCTTTTAATATTTCATCAAAGTGGAACTGGCACTGACTGTACCTTGTATTTAACAGGTCAACTAAAAATAAGAGAAAGTAATTATTAAATACATATAGATACTTTTTTTTACGTAAAGAGCAGATTAATCACAATGAATCTCACACAGATACATAAACAAATATAATATATCAAATACAGAAATTACAGCAACCCTAATTTGATATCTGAATTTCCTTCATAGAACATTTGCTTAATCATATTCAAAATAACATGAATAAAGAGCTGCACCATGAGCATGATGTGCATGATGTGCCAGTCTTCCTTTTAGCTAGTCTTTATGCTTTAAATCAGTTTATATTCCTATCGAAGGTCGGTGGTTTTCCCAAGGGCACTCTGGTTTCCTCACCAATAAAAACTGGCCGCCATGAAATAGCCCAAAAGCGGTGCTTAAAAGTAACGTTAAAATCAAATCAAAATAAATCAATATATATGATCGATTAGAAATAAATACTATGAGCACTGCTCAAATACACGCCCCCCTCCTAAAAAAAAACATGCACACAATGATACCCATTGACATGAAACATAAATAATTTTCATGAATAAAGTCCCATAACTCGAAAACATAAAAGTCAAAAATAGATAAAAATCGAAAGGGAGCTTAAGTTAAAAGAAATAAACATATCACCAAAGTTTCATGAAAATTGGTGAAAGCATTTTGACTTATTGTCCTAAAACTGGAAAATCCCCCTTTTTTATAAATAAAGTCACAATACTCCAAAACGTGAAATCCAAAATGTTTTAAAATGGAAAGGGAACTTACGTCAATAAGTATAAATAATTCACCAAAGTTTCATGAAAATTGGTGCAAGGGATTTTGAGTTATTCATGTCTTAAGTGTTGACGACAGAGGGATGGACAGACAATAAGAAGTCCTGTCTTTTAAAGACAGACCTACATGTATAAGAACTGCAGGCTTTATTTTGAACATTTCTAATTGATCCGTTTCAAATACTAACCTGTCCATTAAGAATTGACAGAATCTGATTTCATGGCTGTCATGGTTTAATTTTAGACATTGACAACTGGACCAAAGAGTTCTAGAAATCTTTTTTCCCTGGTGGTCCTTAAAGAAAATCTGCTGGTTCTCACTATATTTTTATTGCAAAATACAAAACTTGCGTCAGTCCTTTGGAAATTATTGGTAGCCAATTATTGGGGGGGGGGGGGGGGGGGGGGGGGGGAGTGTTATGGTTCTTGTCCGAGTCAGAATTTTTTTTCGCACTATGGGGAAAATCTGGATTCAGAATATATTTTTTTTTTGTCATCTGCTTGAACAGATTATTTTTTCATCAAATTGGGGATCAGAATATTTTTTTAGGACAAAACCATAACCCCTCCCTTGAAGTTAAATGGTCATTCATTCCCTAATCAAAACATTGAGGTTTCAACATGCTTTATGTTGATTATATATATTCATCTAATATAACATATGCAAAGTAATCACAAAAATGTTTTTGAATATATAATTTTATTTTTATATTAATTTATATATTTTAAAAAATAGTGGGTAAATAAATATAATGTAATAGTCATAGACACCATAATTATTCTATCACGTTTTATCGTTCATATCAAATTTAAATTGAAATTAACAATATATGCTGTGTAACTCTGCATCTATTTAAGAGCAGAAAATAAAAAAAATTGAGAGGGAGCTACCTTTTATCAATGTCAACAATAATGGTTAAGTACATGTATTGAGCATCCTGGTGTTAGTGCATGTGTGAAAAATTACCTTAATTCAAACTGTTAAAGGAGAGTATATGAATGCTCTTTATCGTTAAGCGTCTATTTTTCGCTACCGTTAGCATCAAATGAGCCTTAATTTTTTTCCTCATATCTCATTTTGTAGCTACTTAGCATCAAATGGAGTAAAATGTTTATCTTTAATGTTATTTACACAAATATTTTATCGTCATTCGCCATTTTGGGTACCCAATTCCTACCCTCTTAAAGTCCTGTAACTCTGGAATGACACACCAAAATTTTTCAAAATAAAATCTGATATTGTTGTGATGAAATTACATCAAATTTGAGTTATCTTACAAAGTGTTGACAGACAGATGGACATGATGGACATTTTGGTAACAGGAACCATGTCTAGATAGATCATTTTGGAACAAAAATCACTCTACAATAAAAGAAGAATGTCTAAGGACATGAACACCCTAGCTCAAGCTTTGCAATTTTCCAAGTTAAAAGGGGGCATAACTCTAGAACGGTAAATGAATCACAACCGAAAGTCTGTTTGCGTGTTAACAGTGGTTCTTAGCATTGTGTATGAGTTTCATAAAATTTGCACGAGACAAAATAAAGTTATAGAGTGCAGAAACTAAAATTTGGCTGGACAGACAGTCAAGGGTAACACTAAATGCCCTTGTTGCCTAGAGCGCAGGGCATAAAAAACACCCACAGATTTTAGCAATTCATGTGTCCAATGTAATTAGTATGTTTTTAGGGAACAACATTAACCTTAACCAAAATTATGAAAAACTCCAAGGCACCTATAACATTTATAAAAAAGTACTACATTTTTTAAACCATTTAACAAAAAATTAACACACACATTTTATGTTGCATTGTAAAGTCCAAAATTGTCTGAATTTTGTTTTATTATATGGCAACACAAAATCCATTTAAAGATAGTTCCAGGCCTCATGATTTAGGAAATTTAAGCACCTGAATTTTTGTTTTAATATAAAAATAATACAACATGTATGTGGTTTGATTACCAATGAGACAACTATCTACCAGAGACCAAATAAAGTAGATGTTAGCAACTATATGTCTGTATATCATGTACTTGTATAAATTTACAGAGGCGGATTTAGAGGGTTTTTCAGGGGGCCTGGCCCCCCCCCCCCCTTTTGTGGGAAAAATTTGGTTGATTATATAGGGAATCACTGAAGCATGACTGGAGCGGGCCCCCTCTTAAGCAGTCAGTGGGCCCCCTCTTATGAAAATTTCTGGATCCGCCACTGATTTATTCTGTAATTTGTTGGTCTCTTGGGCCTATAGTGTTTGAGGTGTTCCAAGAACTATATAAAACTAAGAAAAAAAATACAAGCAATATTTAGTGTTTATTTACAACTACATGTACCTCAAATAAAGCAATCCCACATTGTTTGTATTTAAGCCAAGAATTAACAGGTTGGAACATGTAGCTCTGCTTCATGATTCGTCCAAAAGGAAATTTACATTGTACAGTATATATACCCATCTTAAAATTGATTGTACCTAGATAGAACCTCCCCCCCCCCCCCCCTTCCCCCCAAAAAATAATAAAAAGATGAATGGTTGGTACAAATTGCATATCCAATACTTGTCAAAGTCAAAAATTAAGCTTTCTCTTGACCTTACCTGTTCATAAATCCTGAATTTTAATGCCCTATTTTTCTAATTCAATATCAGATATTTAGAAAGTTGAATATAACTAGTTCTAAGTCCTAAGTCAGGAATCTGATGCTCGGTAGTTGTCGTTTATTGATGTTGTTCATAAGTGTTTTTCGTTTCTCGTTTTTTATATACATTAGACTGTTGGTTTGAACCGTTTGAATGGTTTTACACTAGTCTTTTTTGGAGCCCTTTATAGCTTGCTGTTCGGTGTGTCAGCCAAGTCTCTGTGTTGAAGACTGTACTTTGACCTATAATGGTTTACTTTTACAAATTGTGACTTGGATGGATAGTTGTCTCATTGGCACTCATACCACATCTTCTTATGTCTATATAATAGTTGTTTCTTAGAATTTTTACTGTAAATTCTTAAATTATAGTTTATCTATTATTGTGATTTATGAAAGAAAGGAAAAAAATATGAGGTGAATTTAATATTGCAAATTCTGTGAGAGGAAAATCTGCAAACAGATACATGTATCTGATACCAGAATGTGAGTTTTTATTATTGTGATACTCATCCAGTCGCATTATTCACATTCATGAAAACCTCGCAATTCTTCCTGAATTTACAGTACTAAACAATTTACTGCCTTGACAATGTTTGCTATAACTGAGGTACATACATGTACATGTATATAGATATCATCTGCATGCAATGAAGTGTTATTTTAATTTAAATACTGATGATAACCATATCTAAAAAGAACATGTGAAGGTGGGCAGTAATGATTAACAAACTACATAATATATCTATTAGTCCAATAATGAATATTATTTTGTCATGAAAGGCTTCTTTCATTTTTTGCTGTGATGCCTTCCTAAGATGGACTATCATAGGAAGGCTTCACAGTAAAAAATTAACAAAGCCTTTCAAGAAATCATAATATCATATTATTTGGACTATGCGTTCAAATTGGTCAAATCAATCAACAAGTATATAAATTTGCTATAGGTCATATTGATGACTTTGTGTACATGTGAAAAATACTATTTCTAAGATAATATATCCAAGGTGCAGGCATTTTTCAATAATCTTGACTTAAGACTGGAATTGGGGGATAACATCATGGTCTGTGGGCCTCAAATTAAGGGATCAGGGTTCCTTTGAGCAAGTTTTTGTGTCCCAGGCTCAAAATCATGGGCTCATGATTCATTCGAACAAGGTTTTGTGCCAAAGGCTCCAGTGTTAGGTCTCCATGCTTTGGAGATAGGGATCCCGGTTCGAGCAACGTGGGCACCGGGCTCCGAAGGAACTGTGGAGCCAGTGATAAAATTTACCGGACAGGATGCCTACAAAACGTAAATTAGGAACGAATTTCAGAGCGAGTGTTGAGAATGGGATCTTGGCAAGATACAGAGAACTTGTTTCATTCGATATTCTGTTCATTTACTGACTGGATTCTATTAATTATTTTAATTTCATATATTTTTTGCAGTCTACTTTCGTTTTGACCACGTGTATAACATACGTGCTAACACTGAACTCGTTTTTTTTTTCTTATACTGTGCCCTTTTTCGCCATCTGAAAGGAATGATTAACAAAAGAAACAATGTATGTTTCATAAATTTTACACCTTTGGTGTCTTACACTTACTTTTCTTGTTAGATTTTCACGTAGAAGTGAAAATATTTTCCGCTGCAAGGTGCTTTCCATTCTGCAAACCACAAGCATCTTTCCGACGGCGATCGTCTTCTGATTGGTTGATCCTCAAAAGGAGGCGGGGTCCCACAAGCGGACAATATCGGCAACAAAAACAGCTATTGCAATCGTTTACAATATAATTAAGGCACAAACATACAATATTCGCGTTTCAGTAAATAAATTACACCATATCGATACCCGTTTTTAATTCAAATGCATGTATGTAATTTGTTATCATACATTTTTATCGATAGACGCAGCTTTCGGGCTCATCGCCATTAATGAATATATGAATATTTAATGAGGTCTTTGCGGAGTTACCTCCCCCTGACCAAATCTGATCGAAATTGCCTTAACATCACTGCGCTGTCTTGGTAAAATTTATTTACTTTCAACTCATGCAGAATTGTCATCTTCAAAATCACCCTGCCCCTACAACAACAAAAAGAAACGATCGTCCCCAAATCCAAGGAAACAGAAAAGTAAAATTGAGAATGGAAATGGGGAATATTTCAAAGAGACAACAACCCGACCAAAGAGCAGACAACAGCTGAAGGCCACCAATGGGTCTTCAACGCAGCGAGAAAATCCCACACCCGGTGGTGGTCCTCAGCTGGCCCCTAAATAAAATTGTGTACTAGTTCAGTGAAAATGGACGTCACACAAAGCTCCAATACATATAAATGAACTAAAATTTAAAAAAAAACTAAAGGCTAACAAAGACCAGAGGCTCCTGACTTGGGACAGGCGCAAAAATGCGGCGGGGTTAAACATGTTTTGTGAGATCTCAACCCTCCCCCTATACCTCTAGCCAATGTAGAATTAAGAAATACATAGCAATACGTACAGTAAAACTCAGTTTAAAAGAAGTCCGAGTCCGATGTCAGAATAGGTAACAAAAGAAACTAAGCAAAATGACAATGATACATAAATGAACAAAGGACTACTAAAATCAAGTACAATCCCTCCCGCTAGGGGTTAAGTAACATACCATCTTAAAATATATGAGAAGAACATAACCATTATCATGCCAACAACTGGTTTTAGAATAAAGAAGTGCATATATGAAAAATATTCAAAAACAGAGAACAATGTTGAGCATACTTGGCATACAAGAGGGAGACGTTATTTTTTACGCCATTTATTTATCTATTTATGTCATGTTCTGGAAATACTGATGACTAGGCTTCCTTTCTGCCTTTAGCCTTATTTAACATCTAGTGTTGGGTTATAGTAATTTAGTCTGTTTATGTCTGTTTGTTTTGGTCACACATTGTTGTCAGTATGATTGAATTCAATGCGACTGTCATATAAGCGAGAGGTTGAGCTAGCTATAAAACCAGGTTTAACCCCACAATATTTTAAGCCTTTACCAAGTCAGGCTACCTGGCTATGTGTTGTTTGGTGTTGTATCTATTTGCTGTATACTCAAAAGAAAACATAAAAGGAAACTAAAACCAAAACAATATCGTCGCAACCCCAAAAAAATGCTCTGACATCCACTGAAAATTCCATCAAAAATCAATTTTAAAGACACGAATGAACAATAGGCTGCTATTTATTTCAAACAACTGTATATTAACACGAAACCTCTGTTTCATATAAATTATTTTAACAGTTTCTCAACGGTTTCGGATTTTTGTAACATCTCCACCTACGCCTTTATTTCTAGACCGTATAACTTTGCTAAAATTTAATAAAGAAATATAAGTATTTACTAGTAGAATAAATTTTGAATATTTTATAGAATACAAAATATTCAAAGAGTGACCAAACAACACATAGTTTACCAATAGCGCATGTATGTTGTTCTGTTACGAATTTTCGATATTTAACTTCTTGGAATAGCTATTCTTTTTATTACATTGACCGTTGAATTTTAAATGGAAATAGAGAAGAAATATTCAAGGAATAATTTCGTTGATACGCATTCTCAATTCATTTTGATGCAACTTCATTGATAAGATCCTGACAGCACAATTTTTGTATGACGCAAGAGGATTAAGTTGATTTTGTATTAGTCTTTCTACAGTCATATTTGTTCTTAGTCAGCTTTTGGTTGTTATTTGAAGTCATTTGTTCATAAAGGTATCATTAAATATTGTTTTTATTTTAATCCAGAATTATGTCCTCGTACAGTCATATGAGGTCGGAGTTAGCTGTTTTGGTTCGAGGACAGCTGTATTCGTTTCCGGAAAGAATGTAGGACTAATATGAAAACGCAAATTTACTTACACTATACTATTTATCTGTTTTATAAATACTTACACGTAATTGCATTTTTACAAATAATAAAATGCAAAGCGATAAATTAATTACCAAGATAAAGAGGTAGGAGTGTTGCAGTAATATCACTGTTTGTTCCGCTTCCGTTTGAATGTTTGGAGAAGGCGTCCGATATTTGTCTTAGTTGCTCTTCCATTTTACCGTCGGTTTCGAAGAACCCAGCCAATATATCAAAGTCTAGGTAAACTGGTTCTCCAATGGGCTTTGATACCTTCCATTGTGTGTACTCTGTTTTGTAAAAGTAAAGGAAATAATTATGCCTCCAGCAGTCAGATTTATATTGTGGTACACCGTTAATTTGACGCCAATCTCTCCATTAAAAATGTCTATTTTGTGCTAAAATCAAAGCTTTTCAAATTGATCATCAAATTTTATTCAATTGCTCATTGTGTTCTAAATTTGAAGACTAATGTTATGATTTCTGTTCAGATATGAAATTGGTTTAAAAAGTTAGCTTTCATTTTTTGCAATTAAATAACTATTTTTTTTACTATAAAACGATGATAGATAGATGGCAACTGAAAGGGCAAAAATGATCCACAAGACAACAGATGCGTGCAACATAGTCATCAAACTTTTAAATATGTAATAGAGGACATCGACTGTAAGAAGCTTATTTATGAAGTCATCCTCGTTAATAAAGAACAAGTCGGCAAGAAGTGCGGCATAGTTGGTTCCTCTTGGAATGCCAACTGTTTGTTAAAAAGAACTCGTCCTACAAACATAACAATTATGTTGTCAATCAAGACCTCAAGCATCTTGATAATTTCAGTTTCAGAAATGATTTTGTTTGAAACAGACTTATCCCTTACAAAGTACGATTTACCCCTTCCTAAAACAAGATATATTTTATGAAACAAAGCAAGTCAAATTCTTTCAATTTGTCTTTTAGTTTGAAATGGTAAATACTAGTCATTATAGTTCAAGTGTAAAATGGTCAAATGTTTTTATTCTATTGAAAGAGAAAAGATACTTATATTGTATTGAAGCTAACATATCTTTAGATTTTTGTTTTGTATCCCCATGTGATTCAAGTCATCCAAAGGATTACAGAACAGACCTATGATGATTCAGGATTTCCGCTTCCGTAAGTGCCATGGGGTATATGTTTAAGTTTCCAAGTGAGTTGTCAATATCTAATTCAAGTTTCTATATTGTGATTTACATACATACAAAAACGATGTTTTAAGGATTTTGATGTGGGGATAACATATCTGTCATAAAGGTATGCCAGGTGCTTAGCAAAATTTAGGTCTTTAAAGAATAGTGTAGCAGGTATATTTATAGAACCATTTTTTTTTTAAATTTCAAATTGTGATTTGTAGCAAAGACCCGCAGGAGTTAGGAATAAATGTCATTGAAACAGTTAAGGTTGACTTGTATATACAAATCATTCCTGGTCTTTTTCTGTTCCAAAATTAAAACCTTGGTAAAGTGTGGAGTCCGTTTAGCAGTTTGGGAAGCATAAATTTGCAACCGCCTCCGGTTGAAATGTTGGCAATAACCAATATGCCTCTGATAAGGGGGTGGAAAGTTCTAAGCATGTTAAAGATCCATTTCAACAATTCTGAATCAGTCAGTATATGACTTGTATGCCATTTTCGTCATACCTACATTTTGCAACGGCACTTCAAAGTTCCGACTTTCCTTAGTGTCAATCTATCTTGCAGAACCTACATATTGTGCTAATTGTTAATTTTTTCTCGTCCTTAAGATGTGTGAAATATTCGCCATTTAACGTTAAAGAAGCTACAACTAATGAATAATTTACCTTGATAAGTTAATGCTTGCATTTAGTTGAGATTCATATCAACACGGAGCCGCCGAAAACTATCTTTACAGTAGTATACTCAAGTGAACATATATTTATTTCAAATTTCAAGATTTGTTTAAGGAAATTAATTACAAACCTTCTACAGGTAACAAAACCATATCAATACTTTCAGTATTAGAAGTCGTTATTCGTTCCAAAATCTTTCGGAGAAATATTGTCAGAGTCGATTGTAATAGTGCATCTGTTTCGAGTATTTCTAAATATATATCTGTATGTAGAACTATGCTCCCTTTTGTGGCAACGATAAATTCTATACCACTTAAGTTTTCATTTATCTCGTCTTTAAGGGAATTAAGGATATCTATAGTTCTCTCGATATCCGCATTGTTCTGGAAGATGATCTGTACACGAACTTTTTGTCTTCCTACATATACAAATTTACGAAATATGATAATGATGTTCTGTATATCACCTTGAAACTTAAAAACAAAAACAAAAATATTGTTCAACGAAGTCCAAGAGCAAATGAAAAGTTATAGTCGTTTTAAACATTACCATAAATTACTACTTTATAATTTTAAATCACTTGAGAGAAAAAGGAATCGTGCTGTCATACAATACTTTTATTAATAAAAAATATACCATTTGCAAAAAAATCTAAATTACATGTCTTGATATATTTTTTGTTGTTGTTATGCTTCATGTGTTTTAAGTCATTATTTAATTTAAACTAATCTTCACACAGTTTCTTATCAATCGTTTTATTTATCATTGGGGGGATATGGACATGCAAGAGATTTTAATTATAATTGCGAACCTGTCCTCAACTGTAGTAATTCCGCAATTGTTAAACAACGCAGTGTTCACTTTTTGGAAAGATATGATGATATTTGACATCAATTGTCTTTGAGACTAAGTCGGTCTGTCCAAACATATGTTTTGCATAATATGTACTCATCGCGATCATTGATTATTGGAACACCTTCAGATTTAGTAAGCTTGATCATTGTTATTTTCATCAGTATCTGTCTGTGTACTGATTGTAGTCGATTGTTTATTAGACTGACATATTATATAGCTGCACCCAGTGTAATCTGTCTGTAAACTGATTGTTTAGTAGATTGGCATATGATATAGCTGAACCTAGTGAAATCTGTCTGTTTACTGATTGTAGTTGATTGTTTGTTGGAGTGGTATATGTTATAGCTGCACCTAGTGAAATATGTCTTATACTGATTGCAGTTGGTTGTTTATTAGATTGAATAGAATTAGGATGGAAATGGGGAAAGTGTCAAAGAAACAACAACCCGACCAAAGTGCAGAAAGCAGCCCAAGGCATTTGATATAGCTGTATACAATGATATACGTCACTAAATATATTCATGGTGTTTATTTTACAGTATATTCGGTTTGAATTACATGTTATATTTAACCTGAAACAATGAGCAGTTAAGGCATGTTACCTACCCGCTGATTTTTCGCTCATCAACATGGATCTTAGATTCACCAGGCATCTGTCAAAACTATTTCCCCAGAAAAACTTTATTGGGTGTCGTTCGAATCTCACTGTGGATGCAAAGATGACACTTACGTAAATTTACATTTCTACACGAGATTTTAAAAATGCAGCCTCTAAAAAATAAATACTGTAATGTTTTTACTAAAAACAATGCATATAAATGCATGAAGAGGCAATTTGAAATATGATTAACATGTATATAACTATACATTTTAATCATATTACTAGCAATTATGAATATGTTTGTTGATAATCAAGTACACCATCAATTGCTGTCCTTTCGTTTTGTATCTTTGAAATATTTAAACTGTTTCGCTTTAAAGATATTTTAGCTGAGTATTTTAGTATTTTCTGTTAAGATCGTGCACAACTTGTAAAGATTTGGAAAGAAAGATATTTCTGACTCGTTTTTTATCATTAAAGATCATACTTTATTAATTTTATCAACTGTGTTTATGCAGATTTTCCTGAACTCGCACTAATTAATCTCGCACTTTTCTTTAAAAATCTCAATGATAATCGGCTCTTCATGTGGTTTTCTTTCGATGACTTATGAACTCTTCCCCTAAGTACATTCAAATTGTAATATGTTGTTACTGATGTCAAAATAGAGATCAAGTTCAATATAGAAGATTTTGTGTTGGAGTTGTGGTCCTTGATTTGTTGGAAAATGAAACTTTATGTCGTTATGTGTAATTAATTATGAACCTTTTGACCAAAGCTTATACTATTTTAAAAGTCTTGTTACTGATATAAAAATGTAAAAGTTTGACAATTTTAATTTTTTCGGTTAGGGAGTTATGGTCCTTAATATATTTCATTTCCGTGAAATACCTTATGACCCGTTCAATCAATGTTTTTAAAATTTTAATATGCTGTTACTGATGACAAAATGGTGGTCTAGTTTGATATTGACGATTTTAATTTTTGCAGTTCAAAAGTTATGGTTCTTGGTAGATTGGAAAATAGGCATGTATTGTGACAGGTCAAAAAGCCTGAAGGCACCTTTTAAAATGCAGGAAACTCAGTGTACTGTCAATTTCACTGTTCATTCTTATATTATTGTTGGTTTACTGTTTCACTGATTCATAACCCCAAGAGCGGAATGTGGTATACAATATGGTTATCCCTGGACCTATCTCATTTAGTCAGTAAACTCTTGCTAAGTTTCTCTCTATCTTCTTTAATTTTTGCTCATGTGACTTGTTAGTAGATCTTGTCTTGCTGATCACTTTTGTGATTTAAAGTGTCTATTTATCTAATATAATTTTTATCATGTAAGGCAAAAACCCCCAAAAAATGATAAAAATCGTCATTAAAGGGCAATAATTCCAAGGAGACGTCAAACGATTTTCTCTATACTGTTTTACTTGTGGATCTTGTTTTGCTGATCATTTTTGCTTATTTAAGTTTCTATCCATCTATTTTTATTTTTAAGATACATGTATAAGGCAAAAACGCAAAAAATTGGTAACTATCATCATCAAAGGGCAAGAACTCTAATAAGGAGTCGGCTGACGATTTCGACAATGCGAACTGATTTGTAGAATTTGTCTAGATCAATTTTGCATTTTAATGTTTCTCTGTATCTATTATAGTTTTCAATATAATAGACACACATGAAAAATATGGTAAAAATTTTCATTTAAGGGCAATAATTCCTATAAGAAATCATCTGACATTGGGACGCATATGAACAATTGGTAGAGCTCAACATTTTGAACATTTTTGCTCTAGTCAGATTTTCTCTATTCATAACGGTTTTCAAAATAATAGACAAAACTTGCATTTTAACACTATGTTCTGTTTTTAGCCATGGCAGCCATGTTTGTTGGCAGGCTGGGTCATCAGACACATTTTTTTAAATAAGATACCCCAATACTGATTGTGGCCAAGTTTGGTAAAATTTGACCAATTAGTTTCAGAGGAGAAGATGTTTGTAAAAGTTAACGGATGACGACGACGGACGTCAAGTGATGAGAAAATCTCACTTGGCCCATTGAGCCAGGTGAGCTAAAAATCATATTTAATCTACCATTTCCTACATGATGTCTGTACTCTGGAATATGACTAGAATGTACATTGAAAATATGTCACTGCACGTTTAACAAAACAAATCATTGAATAATCCACATGTCTTCTATACGAATATAGATCACATGAAAACCATAGGATTCACAATGATTACGTCGGACAAGCACCCACCAAAAAGTCGGTAAAAAAAAATCAACAGATATCCAACCCCATCTGATATACAACAGAACACGCGCACCAACTACAACCGATTCCTCAGAGTAAATAGTCCTACAATAACAAACAAGCCAAGAACGAGCAACATCTTTATCAAGGCATCTGACTTGGTAGAGGTGAAAATGTTGTTAGATTGAACTTATTTTACGTGTGCATCCCCGTTTTTGCTATCTAGACCAATAAAGTTGGGTAAAGTAAAACACCAGTACAAACTTCACAGTTACCTTACCAGTAGGACGACCACTTACTCGAATACGGACCTAAAAGACGTCAAATAATATGGAAGATAGAGCTCAAGAACCCAAGGAAAGGACCTGCATTATTGATGCAGCGATAAGGTACATGAAAGCATTTACTCATCGTCATGTAACAACCGTAGACGTATTATTGGAGCTAAGGTCAAATCCAGATATCAGTAAAATATGTTAATGTTGATACAACAAAAGAGACAAAAAATATGTTGAGGTTTAATAAGTTTGTAAGCATTTAAAACCAAATCCATTTTTTTATAGGTTTTATATTCGTTTTTTAAAATACTAGTATCCCAGCTTTTAAATAGCTGGGACTAGTATATGGTTTTTCATATATATTCCGATGACAAAAAGGGTAAATTTCAAAAATTGATGAACCGACTTTTTCATTGTTGATTTTTTATTTTTTAAGATGAATATAAGGTTCTTCGAGATCGGTCTGTCTCATAGTGTTGAAGTGATGCTGATTTTTGAAAGCGTGGTCAAAGATTCTGAAAGGGACATAAATATGACTTTATTTTTAACATTTTGGATAATATCACGGATATCCTTCATCATAATTGACAACAAAGTCAATGAAATCATAATTTCAATGCAAAAATGGCAAATGCATTATCTGTTGTATAAAATAAAAAGAAAACGGAAACAGTTGTAATAGTTTTGCATTCATCAATTTGGTGAAATGAAAATAAATGTATCAGCAAGATACATTTATTTTCATTTCACCAAATTGATTAATTCTTGGTTGCTTAAGTGTCTAGTGTAGATTGATTAGATGTGAACTGTTGATTTTCAAGTCTGTGAGAATTGATTTATTGATTTCTTGTTATAACTTTTAAAACAGTAAAATTGTTTTTTTTTCTGCAACAGATGTGCATTTCGACAAAAAATGTCTCCTCAGTAATGTTCGAGGCCATAAATCAAAAACTTATAAAAAATGATGCGCTTATAAACCAAAAAGGAAATAAAGTATAACCAAAGCTGGGCAAGGAATCAAGAGCTTTGGATGAGGGAGATATATTCCTTAATTCATTGATTGATTGATTGGTAATTGCTTTAAGCCACAAAAAGGATATATCGCGGCGAGAGCTATTTTAAATATTAGAACAAGACGGTTTTATTTTTAAAAACAGACAACATTTCTTTTAATTTACTAAAACTGTTAAAGCGAAAATACTTATTTACAAATAAAAATTCTTCAATAAGATAACTTGATAAAAATTTAAAATCCTTTTAAATATATACAACAAATTCATATTTTGAAATATATTCAAATTTCTATTAAAAAAGAAACAATTGTTTCAACAGAAATATTATTAAATAAATCATACATATTATTTACATTAACATTTTTTTTTATTCAGATATCGGAAAAGTCTATACATTCAATTAAAATGTGTTTTATTGTATACTTGCAATCGCAAGGTATACATTCTGGTTGAATTTCGTTTGTAAAAGATACTCCTGTGTTAGTCTAGCATGACCGATTCGGCATATAGACATAACACACTGATCTTTCCTGCTTTTAAATTTGTTTAAAGGTTTGCATAAAGTTGGTTTAATTTCATGCAATTTATCGTGGTTCTTTTAATCCAACCATTTTTCCATATATTTTAAACATGTTCTCTTATATTAGATTTAAAATCAGTAAATGGTTTTTCGCATTTAGATATTTGGTCGTTTAGGGCATTCGTTGCATCCAGATCTACAGCGATCTACTGTGTTTCCATCATTGCCGGTATGACTTAACACCCATAGAAATATAATTTCTTTATCTAGTATTTTCAAATTGCTCATTACATAAAGTATTTTTAGAATTAACGGTTTTTTTTTATTTTTTGTATTTTCTATTGCTTGAAGACATGATAGAGAATCAGAACATATAATAAACTTTGATTTGTCAGAAGTAGCAATAAACTGTAAATCCAGAATTATCGGCTTAGCTTCTGCAGTAAAGATAGAAGCAGTAGAAGGTAAGCGGAAAGTTGCAGCTCTGTCACCAAAGACAGCAGCGGACGACACTCTTCGATCCATCGACATTATCAACTTAGATTTTAACAGTTTGATATGGGAAAAAAGGTTAACTTTTTATCAAAAAAAAAAAACAAAAAAAAAAAAAAAAAAAAAAAATTGCTTTCATCAACCATTTTACATTGGTTTCCATATAAGTAAAGTTCAGGATCGAGATGCAATTTCCGTTTGATGCAGAAATCCATCCCGACGGTTTTCGAAGCAGAAAATTTAAAACCATTTTCAGAAACCCATTTTTCAATTCAACCAAGAAATAATTGTAATTGACGTTCAATATTACTCATATTTAGGCCTCTGTAACAGACTAAGAAATCATCAACGTACAAAGAACCTTCCATATTGCTTTTTAAAATTTAAATAGACTTTATTATTAAACTGGGACAATGTAACCGATAAAATACTACCCCGAGGAACACCCATCTCCTGATCATAAAGATCGGACATGGTTGTGTTAACTCTTACATTAAATTGCCTGTTTCCAATTAAATTTGACATATTGCCTTTCAACCCCATATCAAAAGGATCTTTTATAATACCAAGTTATGTCGTAGGCCTTCTCAAGGTCGAAAAAGAGGACACTACATGCTCATTATTTGCGAAACCATTACGGATTGATTATTCAAATCGAACAAGATGATCAAGAGTACTATGGCCCAGTCGGAATCTGCACTTGAATTTAAAAGCGCATTAGATTCCACGAACCATACAAGGCGGTCATTGACCATCCGTTCGAGCGTTTTGCAGACACAACTGGTAAGAGCAGTTGGTCGATAATTTAAAGGATTCGTATGATCTTTATTTGGTTTTGAAATAGGCACGACGGTTGCAAGCTTCAAGATAGATGGTAAATCACCAGATTCTCCGGTGCTATTCAAGAGCTCTAGAAGAGCTTCAATCAAGGAATCCGGTAAGTGCTTCAACAGTTGATTATCAGGACCACAAGCTGTACCATGGGCCTTAGATAAAGATATTTTAAGATCTTAGTTTATTGTAATTTTCTCCATTTTTCGTTTTAAAGTTCAATTTAATTTTTTCTTTTTTAAATATCTTAAAATCTCCTTCGTAATTGTCATCAGAAGATTTCGAAAAAGGATGACCAAGCTTGTTGGCAATATATTTTTCCATTATCAATAAAGTATTGCCTTCTTTCAAATGTTTGACCGGTGATTTTGAATTTTTACCTTTGATCTTTGTATCATGTTCCATACTTTTGTCATCGGAGTACGAGATGTTATTCCCGAGACAAATGTTTGCCATGAGGAACTCCGAGCATGTTTGTATATCCGTCATGCCTTTGCACGAAAAATACGAAAATCGCTAAGGTTTTCCGAAGTAGGTTGTTTATTAAACGGTCTTTCAGATTTTTTACGGTTATTTATGCCTTGATCACAGTCGTTATCAAACCATGGTTTGCTGGGATATTTCGGATTTGCAGAGGTCTTAGGAATTGTTTTGTCAGCATTAGATGTTAAAACTGAATTAAAAGTTAAAATTGGATCTTCAGCAGCTTAAAACATCTTCGAATTTGTCTCGGGAATAACATTTCGTACTCAGATGACAAAACGTAATTCAAAATAATTTCCAAATTGTCAGTATCCGTTTCATAGTACTGGCTACTGGGCTTGTAATTTACTTTCAATAGGCTTTCAGTAATTGCGTGTACTCATGGATCGGTACTTGAGTCTTTTGTCTTTTTGTTACATTTTTTATACTTTTTGTTAATCTGATGAGTCTAGCCAATTTAAACTGATTTTTTACAGTTTGTTCTAATATGGTACTCCAGGCCACTTACTAACACATAAGAGAGTTGTTTAAAAGGTTTTATAACATGCAGAGTCTGTGGCACGCACGAGACATCGGATTTAACGTCCCTATTTCGACCGGTCATGGCTGTGTATTTGTCATTCCTTACAAAAACAGATTACCCGTTTAACAAGGGTTTTACTGCCCGACAGAACAAGTCCCGGGATTGCCATATATATATATATATATATATATATATATATATATATATATATATATATATATATATATATATATACCCGGGACTGTCCCTTGGATTGATATGTATTCGCAATAAGTAATTATTATTGTTTAAGGTTACACGTATATCTTACGTTTTAAGTTCTCCAGCTCGTTTAATGTGTTGTTATATTGAGTCTGCATTTGTGTATCAATCCTGCATGTCTTATGTCCAATAATTTTATACTCATAGTTTGTATTTTGGAAAAAGTATAGATCCATTCTTTTGCAAATATCACGAAACTGGTCGAAGTAATTATCAAATTCTTCCTCTGTAATGTTTGAACTGCATCGGTGCGCTAGTTGGTTTCTGAAGTGACGTATGCGCTCAATGTCATCTGATAATTTTGTATCTATTTTGTTTGGAGCATTTCCCCATCCATTTGTTGGGGAAGGAACCAACGAAAACTGTCTCAATAATTTATAGATCAATGAAATATCGAAGGAATCATAAGAATTTGAAGATTGTAAATCGCTTAAGCAAGTCTTTTGATCAGTAAAGAAACTATTTAGATGTGGAATGCACATTTGATACAATTGGCTTGGAGAAATAATTGACCGGATAATATCTCTAAAGATATTCGGAAAAGAATCAATGATAGCCAGCGAAATTCTTGAAATACGTTCCCTGTTCAAACTAGTCTCGTCAACAATATGTGTTACTACAAGTACAATAAAATCAACATTTTATTCTGATGCCACTGCATTATGGTTCATTTGTAAACAACAATTAAGAGTACCTGAGATCACCCTGATTTTGGTGGGGTTTGTGTTGCTCAGTCTGTAGTTTTCTATGTTGTGTTTTGTGTACTATTTTTTTGTCGGTTGGTATTTTTCTTTTTTAGCCATGGCGTTGTCAGTTTATTTACGAGTTATGCATTTGAATGTCCCTCTGGCATCTTTCGCCTCTCTTCTTTAACAGTGTGTTTTAATTGAAGTACACATATTAATACCCGAATGCATTGGCCTATTACATTTAACTTGATAATCGAATATGTAATCATTGGTGTTAAATTGAAGACACAGGAAAAGAAATCAGATTTATAACTTGATGTATGATTTTGTTAATGGTTTAGCGGTTTGGTGACAGCTAGATGTATTTTAAGTTAATTTTTTCCTTTCTTGTGCTACATATTTCACAATGTCATTTATTTTATTTTTCACTTTTTTATTCTTTTAATCATCTCTTTAAAGCAGTATGAACTGAACTAATGTGGGAATGACGGATTATTTTGCATTTTTAGCTGCCATTTCATAATTGTGATGGTTATATTGTGGTTATACTACATAAGATTAGTTATATTCTGTTCAATAATGTATTATATATAAATTTTCAGTTCTACTATAAAGCTTACTATCGATTCGTTGCAATAGTGCCAGTTCTTGAAGAATGTCAGTCGAATGTACTTCATCTTTGCATATTGTCTTGTACAACTTTATGCAAGTAACTTGATGAAGGAATTTATCCACTCTATTTAGTATATCATGTAGTCTCTTCTGAAATCCTTCATAATAAGTCTCTGATACATCTTCAGACTTTTTACCGATAACTTCATTTGTTGCAATTACTATTCTTTGAATATCGTCGGCGATTTCAACATCTGTAATGCATGGAGTATTTCCCCATTTGCATGATGGTTCAAGCATTAAATTTTCATAACGTAATATTTTATAGCATAATTCTATTGTGAACTCATCCATATTTGGCAGTTTTTCCATTAAGGATATCTCGTATTCTGTTAGAGTGGCACGTATGTCTTTAAGTCGGTATTTCACTTGTAAAACTCTTGGACTCATACATTCTTTTAAAATTGTTTGCATGACTTTTGGTAAGACTCTCAAGACAATACTGCCTAGTTCTGCTTGTCTCTCTTTGAATGTCGCAGGTACATTCCTTGTTCCTAAACTCCACGACATCAACTAAAAAAATTAATGTAAAAAATGAAAATATCATATTTCAATGTTATGAATTTGTAACATGTAAACGCGAAACTTGATGATGCATATACTTGGCCTCGCAGGACTACTGGATTATATGTCAATAAACTAATAAATAGCAGAATTAAAGTTGTATATGCTAGACGTCCGTTTCATCTACTTAACACTCTTTAGTGACGCTCAATTCAAAAACAGTTTTAAAGACCAAGTAAAGTACGAAGTTGAAGAGCATTGATGAGCCAAAATTTTGAAATGTTTTGCTAAATACAGCTCAGTTAATCTCTTTCTAGGGTAGAAAATCCTTAATTTTCAAATTTAAAAAGTAGAATTTCCCAGTTTAAGTTTTTAATATATTTTATTAGATTGGTGTATTATTTTTTTAATATACTAGCTTATTTTTTTTTTAAATGCTAACACTCTAAAAAGGTCCATGTAGCACGGCTATTACCATTATGGTACTATTTAATTGTACTTTGATTAATTCTTAAATTTCGTTTTGTTTTACGGTGTTTATGGTCGTTTATGGAAGAATGTCAGAACGCACTATCATACAAACACGACAATGGTGGAACTACATGGTACCGATCGATCTGTGCTCTCTATTGGCATTTGAGTTGTTGATTTTGCTTTGAGTTTGACAATTTTTAAAAGATATTAAATTGAACTAGGTGTGGGTAGACTTTAATGAGAGCTAACCACATGACTTTAAGCAATGATATATGAAATAAAAAACCTTTTCAACATTTAAAGGTAAGCATCGTTCACCGATACACAAGTCTGTACAAGTCTAACTCGTTCTTTGACAACAAACATCCCAGATAAATTCAAAGAAGTTATTAAAACATCTGCTATCAACCATAAGGATTGGTGTCAAAAAAAAAATGAAAACAATATTACTAAAAGAAATACGACCACTGACAGCAACAATGAACACGACAGAAAGTTAAGTAAAAAGCAAACAGCAAGAAACCGGTGATAAAAATTCGTATGGTTATTTTTAATTTACAAATATATGCATAGAATTATATTGAATTGAACGATTTCAACTCGAAGCAAGACTAGGTGCAGCGACATAGTTAATTTTTTTTTCAAATCATGGCACAAAATATCAGCAGCCTTAAAGTGTCATACCAACAATTGTCTGCGCTTACAGGATTGTCTTATTGTCGATTTACATTTTGGACTTGGTGTAGTCAGTTTTTCCTCGACTTGTGGTCTATGATTATCGTTTGATATTGAAACTGTCTGTAAACATAGAACGTCATACAGCTCACATTTGTAGTTATTTGTTTGATCTTACATCAGATTTCTTATACATTATCTTACGTTATCTCCTCATTTTGTATCATTTGAATTTTTATCCATTCAGCAAAAACAAACTATGCTGCGTTAAGTTGAGTAATTAATGTTATAGTAGTTATCAAATAGTTCGTTTCTATGTATGTTGGCGTTTGTTTTTGTTGCACTTCAGTGTTCATGTTGTTCCTTTGTTTTCCTCTTATAGTTGATGTGTTTCTCTCGGTTTTAGTTTATAACCTGTTTTTTCTCAATCGATTTATGACCTTTGAACATCGGTATACTACTGTTGACATTTCTTATAAGTTTGTTTTTATAAATTTATATCATTGTTTTGTGTTTAAATTTATATGGGTTGTTTATCGAAGAATCAAAACTGCATTAATTTAAATTTCTTTAGATATCAACCACAATGAAACAACATTCCCGTTGTGTGGACGTCCACCGAATTTACAATAAGTGTAATTTTATAGTAGATTTTATTTACCTGACGAATTCTGTTCATTTCAGTGCCACTTTTCTTTAGTAATGCGTCTGGTCAAACGTCTTGAAATACAAAGACTGAAAAAATAAAAGGGACAATATTTAAAATTAATGCAACATGAAACTCTTCATAAACTATTTGAGTAGCACATTTTTGTCAGTCTAGTGGGTTTAGAACCCATATGATTGTGACAACACGTCCTGCAATATATCCGCCACTTGGTCAAGCAGGTTAAATAAAACATAGATCTTGTTAGTCTGTGATTTCTGTTCTCGACGGTTCTGTTTTATGTTATTAAAACAACTCACACAGAAGAGACAAAACAAACAAAACATTTGTAGCACAATAAATTACGAATTGATGTTTGTCAATCGTAAATAAGGATATAAACTCGTGCAGTCACATCAATATATGATTATATTTTATACTTACTCTGTCACAACCTTACTACAAAATTCTCCATTGGATGACGAAGTTATACAGCGCCAATCCCACAAATTTACACATACAATTAACTAAGACTGTTATTAAGCCCAACAAGTTTTGCCGTTTTTCCATTCCCTTTATTGATACCGAGTATTTGATTGATTGATTGCATGTTGATCGCTCAACGTTCCAATGACAAATATTTCATGCAGGTAGAGGACAACAGATTATTTGATAAAAAGAGCGTAAAATCTAATAACTTCAAATTGTAGATCATGACGTTCACACAATGAAAAAGGTTCGATACAGTATCATCAACAGTCCTAAATTTTCGCATGAACTCCTGTTTGCTCGACTAAATATGGTTTTGTCTGTTTGTATTTCTATTTCATTGGGATGCTGTTAAATTTAGTTTAACGTTTCATATCGGGGTGTAAGAAATTATCATTAAAGATATACTTGAAGGTTGAAAAACGCACCAAAGGTACTAACCTAGACGCGCATTTGTCGATATATGACTCATCAGTCGCACTTGAATTAAAACATTTGCAAGAGAAAATCAATAACGAAGAAAAGGGTATTATAGTTATAGTTGTTAATTTCTTTGTCATTTAGTCTCTTTTGGAGACTTGTCTCATTGACAATCATACCACATCTTCTTATTTTTATATTAAAAACCAAAAACGCTAAAAAATTGAAGACCGATTATTTCGTCAATCATTTAATAAATATTGAAAACGTATGTACTAAAAAAAAGTTATATATAGTTTTCATTTTTAATTTGTTTTTGAAATATTATATTATCAATATCGTGAAAAGTAATCTTTCAAAACATTCAGCTGATGAGTTACATTTCCAACCTTTTCACAAGCAGAAATAAATCAATGACAAGCGTAAAAAAGTTATTTTAAAAATCTGTATCCACATTTTATCAGTCTGCATTTGACGACTTCATTATTGCTATTTAAATTAAGAGCCTGTCCATGAGAAAACCATGCAAAATGCCAAAAATCGTGCGGAAGCAAGTTTAGAAAATTAATGTTATGTGACATGTAACTGGAAGGGTAACATGTAGGGACTATGTGTATACCATCAAAAGTGAAAATTTTTGATTCTATTTTTAGAAATAATCAATTCTATTTTTAGAACACATTCAAACATTGGCTACAGCATTTTCCTATGAAAAATTGGCCATCTTTGAAATAATTTTTTTGCCAATTTATGAGCAAATGTTGTAATTTTATTTGATACAATGCAAGTTTGACATGTTTTAAACCTTAAAATACGGTTTTTACCTTCAAATGATACAAATTGGCATCGTGCCAACTTTTGAAAAAGGATTGGTAAACAAAGGTTGATGTTGCCTACTATTTTTTAAAGTTTATAGTTTCTAAGATAACACATGATTTTTTGATTTTTTTTTAACATTCATAAATTCTTTATTGCACTCTTTGCTGTTTTAACAAAATACTTAATGTACAGCATTACATCAAGTATCCCTGTTACACACAATTATTACTGAATATCCAGGGAGAATATACAGTAAAACTTATTTTATTTTATACACAGTCATTTTAATACATTTCTATTTTTCTATAATTACTTTATAAATAATCATAATATCATATAAAATCTTATCGAAGTAAAGATGTTACAGACGCTGTGTCGTGAAATTTACGGAGAAAAATCCGTTATCGATTCTTTTAATAAAATTTTGAAATATGTGAAATATGTGAATAAGAGACAGCGTGGTTACTGTTTCTGATACTTTTTGTTATTTCATACCTTTGGATTTATACAAGTTTTTGGAAGTGTTGGATAATAATAAAGAATGGTAAGTTACATTTGATAATGTTTGTTTCTTATAAGCTCTTGTCATGAAACTTTATTTACAAATTTGACCCCAATTTAACTACCCGTAACCTTTATATTTGTAAACATTACAATTATACTTATTATACTTATATATATGTTCTTATAGTTTCACAAAACAAAGAAAACAATCATTAAACATATGAAAGTTAATACCATTGTACAAAAGCTTTGTTGACTTCTATAAACATGTACAGATAAGATAGGATACATGATGTTCATTATCTAAAAATGGTTTCTTTTTTCTACAATACATTTACCCCCCCCCCCCCCTTTCCCCCTCCCACCCTTTTTCTAGCCAATCTAATTTTATGCTTCACTTACATACATACATAACTTACATACCTATGTGCATGCATACACACATACATATGCATACATTCATACATATGCATTTGCATACATAAACACATATACATACATTATAGTAGCATATATGCTTTCTGATACACTTGAAACATTGAAAACAAATACACAATATTAACATATTAATACATGCATTCTGCTTTTCAAGAAACTGTGTTTTCCATAAGTTAATTTTATTTATTTCAAGATCTGTAACACCTTTTTTAACATTCTGTTTATTTCTATATTGGCCGTACAATATAAATCAACTGTACTATTGATTTCATATTTAAAAATTATCAATATGTCTATTTTGTTTGCCTTATTATTGGTTTTATAATGTGATTTATAGACTGAGAAAAACATTAAACTCAGCAAGTGACTTAGTCCAAAATAAGCATCATCATGAATCTTGTATCCTATTATTAGAGAGTGTAGGCTTATTACATGTTTGTCAATACCTAGTTTGTTAAATATATATCTCATTGATTTCCAGAAGGTTGTGTTATATGAGCATGTGATGAAAAAATGATTGTATTTATCTTGTT